TTGCAAATGTGTTTTTATGGAAAGCTATGGGGATAATTGTTAAAAKAATGGGAAATTTCATTGGGCATACTTCATCTGCAATCTAGATGGTTCTTGTGGATAGTTAAGAAGTATCAGTTGTACTATTTACACCAGCAGTTGGTGACGCTTCTTTGGGTCAAGTCAATTTTTGTTCTTGTGCTGCTTGTTTTGCTTACAAAAACTGTGAGGAAAAACTGTGAGGAGCAATGCATTTCTGCTTAAATCAGCTTCCTCTGCAGAGTTGTCTAAGAGTCCATTTATGGTCTTGTTGGAAATTTCATCTTACTTCATCATTTTGATGAATGTGCATGATTTGCTTACAATATCATCTTGTTCTTACAATGATGTTAATGTCTCAATGTGGCTTTTACTTGCCAAGCAGTAGTTTTTTCACTCAAGATAGTATTTTGTTGTTTATGTGAGAAGTAATATGCTTTTTCTTCTTAGTTGCTCCTTCCTACTTCAAATTGTTATCCTCATCATAGTAGCTCATACAAATTTGTTTATTTTTCTCTTCAGGTTGTTTTAGCTTGGCAATTTGTACTATGAATGATGATATCCAACATGACATGTATTAGCTACTGTTATAACATAATTTGTCCAGATTGATCAATGGTCTATGTAGATGGTAAAGATTTAGTAGGGCATAGTAGTAGCTTCATTTCTGAGTATTCACTCAGTACTGTACTTTTTAATCAATGGTTTCAATACAAAACTGCTCGAGCATCATCTCAATTCCTCTAAAGTAGATATTGCACAATAAACCTATGTTTTGATCTCATGGTCATCTACTAAAGAGGTGACTTGGAGCTAAAATGTCTTTTGTTTTTATTCATGACACAGAATCAGGTGAATGATACTGAGATTACTCTAAGAACGGCTTGGCACTATTGATATTTTCATTGGGTTCCCAAAGGAATACTTCATATTTCCACTTTTGCATCTACGAAGATTTCTCAATCGCTATGTTATGTTCCGTAACAAGTGTAACTTCGCGAAGATTGATTACGACTTTCAAAAGTAAATTTAGTGTGTCATCAGTCTTACATGAATATTTAGTTACATCCATTCTCTTGTGGATGCTGATAGTCATACCTAGTATTGTATGCATTCAGATGAAGGGATACTTGTTAGCAAATGATATGCGTTTGAAGCAAATTACGAAAAGAAACGAAGATCAACATAACAATGAAATGAAACGTACATATGAATCCAAGCATTAGCTCCGAATTTTGTTCCAGCAACAACAGGTAATGCCTGGTGCTTCATACGCCTGTCTTCATTCATAGGCTCCGCATTATAAACACTTGGCCAAAGAAGTGCTCGTCCTTTCTTGGGCATTACGGTGATTCCCAATTTCGGGAAATCTGTGCCTCCTCCAGCTTCAACATCCGAAAGGTATAAGAAAAAAGTTAGGATTCTAGGACCACACTGCCTCATTTTTTGATAAGGTATATAATCATGGTGAGTCTAAGAATCATCAAAGTGTTGAACATAATGTGTTAGAAATTGAACGGATCAAAAGAGCAATGCATGACGTCTCTTGAACGCGAGCATTTAAACTTACATTGTAAACTTTTTCCGTTTGCAACATAGACGAATCAGAAAGTCACAAGGAGGAAACGTTAGTTTACGAGAAGTAATCATTGCTGCTGAGAGAGTCAATTTTCATTACGACTCACACTGTCCTTTTTCATACTTTAGTATCTGAAGGTCTTCGCTATTTTCAGGAGGAATTCCAACCACATTTGCCAATCGATCCAGGACTCGTTTTGGTACAGTTGCATGCCTGCAGCCATTTCTTGTAGTACACCAAGCATTTTCGGAAGTTCTTCCTTCGCTTAATTTACTTTCAAGCATTCCATCGAATTTTTGTTTGCCAACATCTTGGGATCTCTTATAGCCTGCTTCATATCCATGCTGGATCAATGAATCGCACTCTTCATCGGTCAAAAAATTATCAAGCGTTATAACCCATGGAGGGAGCTTTCTATCCGATATAATATTTGCTTCGGTCGCAGGTACTTCACTTGGTCTAGAAAGCACCGTTACATAATATTCAGGTACCTCTAACAATGCTAGTTTCTCTCGATCTTGATCTGTCAGCGTCCTATTTCCGGGAGCTTCCTCGACTATTCTTTCAAACATTTTGTTCAAATCTCCCTCTTTCAGGCCTGGAATGGCATCTGGAAGGTTTGGGCAACGATTGGCAATGTCAATCAGGTGGCAACTTTGGCAAGCTTTTGCAGAAAGACACTTGTAAGCTAACAGTTTATCATTTTGACGCTGACACTAAATAAATGGAATGCATTTTCGACCTACCTGGCGCACATTGTACCTTCATGAATGATTTATTGTTTTCACATTCTCCAATTCCAGCCCAAAACGAACATAATTCATTCTAAAAAGTAAAAGTAAACAGAACATGTTAGGGAAGTCTGCTTTGCTCGGAACCTGTTTCGTGATTTCAAACAATGTCATACCTGGTTTTTGCAGTGCATCTTGATTTGTGACGGTAGCGACTTGTAGTCATCGCTTCCCAAGTAATTCATCATCTTTTCCATATGATCCAGGGTTGTCATTTTTTGTGCACCGCTTGCAGTTTGAGTGACTCCAAAATTGGCAGTGCGCTGAATTAAATCGACAAAATCTTTTGTTTGAGTCTTTTCGGTGCTCGTCACCGTGCCGTGACACACACCGCACGATTTCCGACACTTCTCGAGCATATACCTTGGATTTTTGTCACATTCTCCAAGATCCTGTGGCGTCGCGAAATAATCGTTTCACATATTGAAGCTAATCAGAAACAAAGTAACGTAYAGTAAATTCAAAAGTCGCCTCTCGATTCGATTGATAGATAAAACGGAAGAGTTGCACAAATCGATCTTACCGCCCAAGCGCTACAGTTTTCGTTGTCGTCTCCGCATCCCGTATTCTCCGCAACGGTGTTAATCGTAGCCTTTGCCGTGCACCTTCCGCAGGACAATGGACAATAGTTTTTCACGGCATTGTTTGTTTCGCATTCATCCACTTCAGCCCAATCGGAACAATTTTTGTGGACGTCATAACATTCTGTCCGAGCCGGGGCTCCTTTCATACCACTACAAGATACTGGACAAATGTTTGCCATGTAYGCCGGACTCCGATAGCTTGACGCAAGATGAAGACGAAATTGAAAGAAAATGAATAAGTTAGAACAAATCTAGCACGAAGGTTAAATTAACAGTTGGTATGAAGGAGCCAAAAGCGTGCAAGAAGCGGTGTCCAGAACAATTTCGACACTCTCGAAGTTCAACTTGTTGCCAGTTTTTTCGGTATTTTGCTTGCGACCATAAATGTTCACGTACCATTCTCCTTCGATTTCCCAGAGTGGACTGACAGGCAGTTAAAGAACAATAGCACAGATTGTGAGGAATTCAAAAAGGTCTTGCAAAGCATTCTTGCAGTCATAGTATCATGTGTTTCGTAGATCATACCATCGTTGGTGACTGTCGCAATCGCCGTTGGCTCCACATTCCTGACTGTCCACTTTTTGAAAGAAGAGGAGGGTTACCAACGCTCTGAACACAGCCACGACCTTCATCRCGTTTGCTACGAATTTAGACGTCCTCGAACGTGTTGCTATGGCACTTGGAAATGCACAAAGACAAGGATCTTTTGGAAACGGACGAGACGACGAAACTGTTCTCTATTCAATGTGACAAGAGGATCGCGWATGTTGAGATGGTGCAAGTGATCTTCGTTATGCCGCCAACCTAGTACGGTACGTATTCCGTTTCTTACTCCCGATTTTCCTCATGTTACGACTACAGTAGAACGGTAGTACCGTACCGGCCACYATGCTACKAACTTACCGGTACTGAAACTGGTCGACCGATATGGTGCAGTGGCATTTTGGGAGGAGTCATTACATACGTACCGTACGGTATCGTACTGGTTTTATATCGTACAGCTACAGGGCAAGAGAGAAAAAAGGGCGTATTCTTCGCGATTTTACTTCCTCGAGGTTTCTGGGCCCTGCCGTCCAGTACACAAAATACGAATACTGCAAATAGGAATAKWKKARTWSWRTACGGCACGTTACGAAATGTCCTGAGTCCTGATTCAAAAAAGCGTGAAAAAATGAAGTTTTAAAGTGTGAAAGAACACTAGTTTTGTTTTTGCTTTTTTCCCCCTTGGAATGATGATGACTAATTTGATTCATACGATTCAAATACAGTTTGGTCTGTCTTCCCTCCATTTGCAATTTACAAAAAACGTTAGCCGTCACCATTCAAAAAGTCAGAAAGTCGTCGTGCTCGTCCGGGAACATTACTACTTTTTGTTACTACGTACAGWACGGTATTATTATTTCTGTAGTCGAGGGCCGGAGCGGAGGGTACGAGTACGTACTACTGTACGTAATTCACTGAAGTTGCACTGTACTGAGTACGAGCTCGATTACCGTACGTACGGTACGGAGCAAACAAACCGACGATCATGATATAATCATCACATTCTGGAACAACCTGTATTCCTCTCAATTCTCAATACGATAACAAGAAGCGCTTACAAAACGATCGCCTACTACAACCATTCGAGGTCAGTTTGAACATTGAGATCAATACAATCGAAGCTATAGCTATGGGTCGAAAAGGAAAAAAGAGGTCAGAAGCATTGCGGTCTGATCGATCGCAAACACCGAAGATCGTGGAGAATATCAATGACTCTGATGACGAAGAAATTCCTGAAGACGAGGCCTTCAATTCGGAAGATGAGCGCCTATATGGCCATTTCTTTGCTGACGATGGTGAGGAAGACGACGGTGAAAAAAGCATTTCGTCGACGTCGACGTCGTCTTCGGAGGCGGAGGTTACGAGTGAGGAAGATGATGACGACGACGACGAAGATGGTGGCCAATACATGCTTGATCTATTGAACAAACTCGACGACTCTGGAACTGGCGACGACAAAAATAATGACAAAATTTCTGTGGCACAAATGGTCAAGATTCCAGAATCTGATTATTCCAATTCMATCTCCAAGAAAGGCCTAACGTTGGACAACCTGATGGAGGGCATTCAAGACACACAAGGCTTCCGAAACTTGCAAAAATCTTTTTCCTCGAAGCCTTCCACCACACCAGCGCCTTTGGACAAGAAAACCTCGAGCCGTGCAGAGCGAAAGATTGCATACGAGGCTCGCTCGAGGGATATTTCTAGATGGGTCGATGTCATACAGCAAAATCGTCAGGCTGAATCTTTAGATTTCAAACCTAAGGAACGCACGGGATTGACGCGAGACATGTTAGTAGATAAGTTTAAAGCAAAGACCGACTTTGAAAGGGAAATTGAAGAAGCATTAGAAGAAGCAGGACAACAGGATGAAGAAGCTGTTCTAAAGAAGGAAGAAGAAGCGTTGCAAGATGATTTGGGTGCCAATCGTTTGACTATGGAGGAATACAAAAAGAGGCGCGGTCAACTAGCCCAAATTAGAGCGCTCATGTTTTACCACGAACGAAAAAGACATCAGATGAAAAAAATCAAGTCTAAAAAGTATCGCAAGATTAGAAAGAAACAACGTGACCGTTTGAAGGAGTCTGCCATTGAATCAGCTTTGGAGCATGACCAAGATCTCGCTCAAGAATTAAAAGAGAAGGAAGAAGTTGCACGGATTCAAGAACGGATGACGCTTGCTCACAAGAATACTAGTAAATGGGCAAAGCGTATCTTGAAGCGGGGTAAGAACGTTGATATTGATACGCGTCGAGCACTTTCAGCACAGCTGAAAAGAGGAGACGATCTGCGACGCAAGATGATGGGCAGTGATGAAGAAGATAATCATGATGATTCGGAAGACGAAAATCTAATAGAATCGGCACGGAAAGTCTTGCAAGAAACGGAAGACGATTTAGATCCGACAAACGGAAAAACTGGTCTGTTCAAGTTATCATTCATGCAAAAGGGAGTCCAAAGGCAAAGAGATCAGGCTCGTGAAGAAGCGCGAAAACTTCTAGGGGAACTCGAAGGCAATGAAACTGATGATTACGATGATATCGTTGAAAACGAAGAAAAGGAAGATGACCTTGATGGAAAGGTAGAAAAGACGTTGTCATCAAAAGAAATGAGTTCTGTGCTAGAGAAAGGAGAGCTCGTGGCAACACCTTTAGAATTCGGTAATTCAAATGCGATTGCCACAAGTAATGGTATTGAAATCGATCTTGACAAAATGAACAACAGTAGCGATGCAGAAGTTAGTAATCATAAGAGGGTTCCTTCTGTAGCTGCCAACGACGGAAACAGTAAATACGTTACTTTGAAAGAATTCGATAAAGTCTCACCAAAGGCTTTAGATCACAGGAGCAGTTCGTCAAAGGAAGTGCTGCAGAAAAAATCAATGAGTAAGGAAAACAAGAAGGCGTCTATTGCAGGAATGAAACAGACTATGGTTGAGAATAGTGATGATATCAATCCATGGATGAATTCGAAATCGGAGACTAGAAGCAGCAACAAGTCGGCAAAGAAAACCAAGCGAAAAGGGATCATAGATATAGAAGGAGCTACCGATATTTTGGATGCCGAGAAGCACGACGATGAGATGGACAAACAGCGAGTGAAACCAGGTGGAAAATCTCTTTCAGAAGAAAACGGGAACAGTGAGACCAAAAAGATAACATCGTTGACTCAAGAAGAACTCGTTCGTAGAGCATTTGTTGCTCAGAATGAATCGGAGATTGAAGAAGAATTCAAGAAAGAAAAGGAATCCATTGTCGTCGAAAATGATCCAACKCGTAAGGTCGAAAAAGGCCAAGGTGCTTCAGAAGAAGTAGCTGGTTGGGGCTCCTGGACTGGTCAAGGAGCACCGCCTCCAATGCCTCGAAAATTGCCCAAAAAGTTACGAGCTCCCAAGAAAAAGGAAGAAAAGCGAAAGCGCTTCGATGATTACAAGCCAGACATTATTATCAATAAAAAGCGATTGAAGAAGGCRGCGAATAAGTTTATGCTGGCAGATGTTCCTCAACCATATGCCTCTCGTGTAGAGTATGAACACGCGATGTTGGGTGGCGTTGGACGAGAGTGGAACGTTTCGAGTTCGTTCAAGAAGGTAACTAGACCTGAAATTCTCACTCGATCAGGGAAAATCATCCAGCCGATATCGAAGAGGGCGAAGCAATCAAGACCTGCCGCTAAGTTTTGATCGCAAAATGTTCAATTCGCAATAATTTACACATGTTCACATGTTACCGTTTCAATGCTGTACTTTCKAAAATTAAACTAGGGTTGCATAGAACTTCTTATTTTTTAGTTCGAATTACTTCGTTTGAATACAAAGAATTGGTTTACAAGTGCATGTGATGAGTGATGTTCAAGTTGAGTGTACAAGATAGAATAGAGCCGGTTCAATTCTGAAATTACTCCGTTGAACGATGCACCACGTCGAGTACATGATGAAATTAAAAGGAGGAAGCCACCTGCTTCGCTTTGTTCACTAAAGGAATAGTGATCGAAAGAACAATCACCAGAACGATACCGCCCAAAAGAAGAGTCATTTTCAAGTTCTTCCATTGCATTTGCTTCTTCAGGTCAGTACTTCTTTTCTTGAAGACGGATGCTTGTTCGTTGAGTTGTTCTGACTTGGCCGCCATGTCTTCGGCCTTTTCTGTGTTCTTCAGCATATCTGCAATATTGTCTTGCATTTGACCCTTCACGGCGTCTACTTGTCCCAAAATTTTTGACGTCTTATCAACTGCAGATGGATCCTCGAATTTTTTCGATACAGCCTGGAGAATAGACTTCGCCTTTTTCGACAGCGAATTTTCGGCAGCARTCTTGGCAGCGTCGCCATACTTTGCAGAAAAATCAGTGTAGAGATCTTGCAGCATACCAATGGCCACGCGTGACGGATACTGTGTTCCTGTGATTGTTGCACAACCTGAGGGTTGACCATTCATGTTGAACAAGATTGAGGGTGAGAATGCAGTTGATGCCAAGATTTTGCGAAGCAGTACTCGTTTCCTCAGATCCCATCGAAAACAGAATCATAAAGAGTTATTTTCTTCTGTGGTCATGGAAAAACGAAGAATACAATCAATACTGTTGCGGATACCGCCAAAACCATGTATTTACGTCACTCTCTAACGGCTACGGAGTCATCGTGCTGGATTTACTTACACAGGCCATCAATATCAGCTCCATAAACAATCTGGTGCTGATCTGACTGAACAACCTTGAATCCTCCGAGAGTACCACTTTGAGAAAGACCGGAGGGTGGGTCATTGGTTACTACACCCGCCACAGCCTCGGCATACGACTTATCGTGGCCACCGTACAAACTGGAATCTGCTCCTCCATGAGTTTCGTACTGGCCGGCGTGGTCGTACTTTGCAACGCAGACGGCAGTTCCGCCGCTTCCAATGCGGTAAATCAAGGCACATCGAAGCTTATTGTCGGACATGATGATGGTGCTGTTAGTGATTGATTCTGTTGAAGTGTATCGTTGCTTAGTGTTCGCCTTTTATGAGGATGCTTCGCTATACCGGGATGAAGGCTTTTGGCTGGTTTCCTTAGATATTATTTTATGCTTATTTATTGGTAGAAATGACTCCGGTTGGAAAATGCTCCCATAGATAGATCCCGTGTTGCGCGCCATACAAGTTTCAACGCACAAATGTATCCGGTAGCCGTGAAGTTTTAGAGCATGGTACTACGAGTACGGTAAGTATGTTCTGTCGGAATTGTACAAGGGTCATGACACTATTATTCGCGAGCAAACCTGGCGTACAACTTACGGTACGTACTTTTGACGAGGAAGRACAGTAACGTACATGGGTGGCTACTGGTTGCGTTACGAGTAAAGTACGCACCGTACGTACGGTATGATACTCCGAGAGTTCGAGAATATTCATTAATACGTACTTATATTATGTAAAAAGATTATGATTACGATCTTTGTTTTCATGAAGACTCATCACTCCTGGAAAGGGAACGAAGACAGCTCGGAAACCAAATATTTTTGATCGCGATGACCCCTCAAATAACGCAAGCGCACGATGTACTGTATTTCGTCGAGACATTGGACAGAAGACAATACAAACAAACACAACTTAATGCACKAAAACGATGGTAAGATCATAAGGCAACGCACAAGAATGGTGTCATATTTCATCGGATGTGTTTGGTTATTGAGAGCAGTAGGATGTTGCAGTGGTGCACTTTATATGCTGTTATTTGTTTCAACGGGTCATACAGTCTGTCTGTCTCGATATTGATGAAAGYATTGCGGCTTCTGCAATGGATAAGCATTGAGTTTGATAGAGACGACAGGAAAGCTCATTGTGCGTTCTCGAGGTTGCTTATTCATTTTTGTCGAAGATTTATGTATAGTTCTGTCGATACTTCACTTATATGAGCGTAAACTGTGGGGACTACTGCAATTGTCGCTTCCACGCACCGTTTATTGTACGTCATTGTTCTAACCATTATTTTCCACTGCTGTGACTCTCGTCATTTCTCGGCTCCTGGAACAACGATATTTCATGGCGTTCCACMTGAAAGGTCGTTTTGTCTGCTTCTGTTTGCACCAGACAGGGCAAAGCCCTTGTCTCTCGACAATTTGTAGAAATGAACCGTCTGCGTGTAGAAGGTCTTCTAGCTGCGTTTCCGAAGCTCATTGGACATGCTAAGCAGCACACATATGTCGAAACCGATGTTGTTCGGTATGTTTATCAACCTCTCGAAAACAATCTTTWCTTGCTGCTGATTACTACCAAAGCCTCCAACATTGTCGAAGACCTTGGCACATTGAGACTTTTGGCGAAAGTTGTTCCAGACGTTGCAGGGGGATTTCAAGAACATGTTATCAATGAAAACGCATTCGAACTTATTTTTGCATTTGACGAAGTGCTCACAGCAGGAGGATACAAAGAGGACGTTTCCCTGTCTGCGATTAGAACCAACCTACTCATGGATTCTCACGAAGAAAAAATCGCAGTGGCGCTCCAGAAATCCAAGCAAGAGGCTGCGAGAGCAGAAATGCAAAAGAAGGCCAAGACTCTTCAAGAAGAAAGGATGGCACAAATGCGACAGGCGTTTGTCACCGGYCAAGCAACTTCAGGGCCAACTGGACGTATGGAGGGCTTCGGAGGAGGAGGTGCGCCGTCTCAACAGTCGGGCATTGGAAGTTTTATGGATCAATTCCAACAACCGAACGAAGACAGCCAACAACAGGCAGTCCAGGAAGAATACAACCCGTATGCAGCACTCCAGCGGCCCAAGGCTCCGACAGCTGTTGCCCCCAAGGTCTTGGCGAAGTCTGGCATGAAATTAGGTGGAATGGGGGGAGCGAAAAAGGACTCTCTWATCTCAGCTATGGCTGCCGAAGACAACTTGTTCGGAGGTGCCTCTAAGGCGGGTGGTCCAGATTTCGGATTTGGTAAAGCTGTGGCTCCGCCTGCTGCAGCCCCATCCACTCCGCTCACTTTGTCATTAGAAGAAAAGATTACAGTTGCCATGAATCGCGAAGGAGCCGTCGAATCTTGCGATGTTAAGGGTATTTTGAATCTCACTGCCAACACTGACGCGGGTGCAGCTGCTGTCATTGCCGTCAATAAGGCACAACTACCAACAACTTTTAATTTTGCGACACATCCTAAGGTTGACAAGAAGGTATACGAAAGACAAGGAGTKTTGTCACTTAAGGGAGGCAAAGGCTTTCCAGTTGGACGCGGTGTTGGTATTCTTCGTTGGTCTACTGGAAGTGATGATGCGCCTCCAGTCAGTATCAACTGTTGGCCGGAAGAAGAAGGAGGTGGAAGAATCATGGTGAACATTGAAATGGAGTTGACTCGAATGGATGTTGTTCTTCACGATGTCAATATTCTTCTGCCACTAGGAACTCAGAATCCTCCTTCTATCGAAAGTATAGATGGACAAATGAAACACGACCCTGCGGCAGGGATGATGTGTTGGCATTTTGATACGGTGGATGCCAGTAACAGCACCGGAAGTCTGGAATTCAGTGTTGATGGAGAAAATACAGAAGTATTCTTCCCAATTCAAGTTGGGTTCCGGTCCGAGACACTTCTCTGCCCAATTGAAATCACTGGAGTAACAAGCTCGGTGTCTGGAGCTCCCATCCCCAACCAGATGACAAAAAGTTTTGTCCCTGAAAGCTATCAAGTGGCTTAAAAATATATCAACGATAGAATAATAATTTCATGGCATCCTTTTTTCAATCCAGTCTACAGCAGAAATGTTTTAGTACGTTGTTCTCCATAGACTCCCCAAAGTGTATCTGTCAACTTTTTTGGAARAGAGCAATGATGTTCTGCACGAATCATYAATTTCGAACTTACCTCAGTAGTGTGGTAGGCTGCTTTAACATCTTGACTTTCGAAAACCAGCGAACAAAATGAAACCTTTTCTTGGGTGGCAAATKTTGTTAAAGGGTGGGTAGTAAATGTCAGAGTATTGCGCCTTAATGTGGGTAGCAGGCAAGAGGGTTGTTTCAGACMAAGAGAAATTATTCCTTCAGAATAAATTTGGCTAACAAGAGYWCATTTATGACCTCTGAAGTTGGTGAATCATGCTGCCCCTCAGAGTGACCAGGGGCTTCCTTTTCCCTACTTGCACTACTAGAAGTGATTTTTCTAGCCTTTCTACTACTAGCACCTCTTCTAGTTCACAAGATTAAACATACTATTAAGTTTTTAAGTAGGTCAACCACAAATAGATTTTTCAATTGAAGAAGGTTTTGATGATGCAAAATCTCTCTCTCTCTCTCTCTCTCTCTCTCTCTCTCTCTCTCTCTCTACCCATGTTTTGAATTGTGCTGCTGGGTTATTTTTCACCCACCAAAATAACTCATGTGTCAGCCAAAACTGGGATTGTTTTTTGCCAAAAATAAACCATTTTTTTCTAGGGGAGGAATTCAAAAAGGGGGTAGCATGTGTTGGTTCTGGAGGGGTTTGCTGGACACCACCCAACAAAGAATGAGGAACTGTTGCCCTAGTATTTTGGATTTCTAGTACTAGTAGTACTAGTAGTAGCAGTACTAACAACAACAAACTGCTTTCTTAGTTGAACTCTAAATATTTCAATTTAAGCTTTGAATCACTCAGTGCACAGTACTTGCTTCACTGTATTCAATTGTGTTTGTTGTTGTACCTATTGTACCTAGTAGTAATAGTAGTAATAGCTAGTTGCTACTAGTAGCAGTAGTAGTAGTAGTAGTAGTAGTAGTAGTAGTAGTAGTACTACTACTACTACTACTACTACTACTACTACTACTACTATCAAGAATCAACCAGTAATGAGGACAAGATTTTTTGAATAACGGGTTGAATGCCCCTTTTCACAGAGCCAAAAGACCGAAGAGAATGCTTCCTTCGCTCTCCTCCTATTGCGAGAACGGAGCGAAAAGAGATCGAGTGATTATTGAATTGGTTTATTTACGAATTTCTCCATTGTCAACACCACCAGTACTACGACAAAAATGGGTRCTAGCCGAAGATCTCGCAACGTTCATCATCAATCTCGTCACTTACCAGACGARAACAAAAGTCGAACCAAAGTTACTTCTTCGACGATAATTGATACAGCCCAAGCAAACTTGGACTTCAATACGGCTCTTCAGGAAGTAGACGGTGATGGGGGAAAGCAAATCACAATAGTTCTCTTGATAGTGATTATTCCGGTCATTCTTGCTTTGGTCCTTGGGATCGCTGCTGGTATGACGATTTCTATCCATTACTTTGAAAACCAAAATCCAACAGCTTTGTTCGGCGGAATGAGGATCAATTCTCGTGAGAGTACTCTGTTGTACTCTAGAACATCTGATGTACATCAAAAAGTAACGACATCAGACCCTATGATCGCTTCAAGTAATGTTGTACAGAGAGACGGAAATCTTGACTTGGGGAAAGTTGTCACAGCTACTGCTACAGGTCAGTTGAATGTTTTGGTAGTTGTGGACGAGGTTGCACCTCTTCGGTCCGATCAGCCACTTCAAAATTCTCATGACAATGCCAATGACCAAAGATACAATGAGCAGTTCTTTCAAGGAGCGAAAAAAATCAAAGCAGGTAACTCGTTGACGATGGAGCAAGCTGAACTCATAGCTCCCGGGTATGGCCAATGGGAGGCCTCTCAACCGAAAATCGAATTACGAGAACCATCAATCCTGCCATCATTATGCAGTGATGGCGAGACACTAGGTTTCGATAGTTGGACTACCCTACGAGCTGCTGTACATGAGGCGAATTCTATTTCTGCAGATCGGTTTATGAAATGGAACGAGTATTTCGCCACGAACTCCTTTACAGCCTTCCAAGATGACCGTTTGTACTACGAGGAAGACATTGTATTTTCAATATGCCCAGGAGCTACATTGCGAGGCCGGAAGGGAGGCATTTTTATAAATGCAGAAAATGTTGTCTTGGAATGTGAAAGAGGTTGCGTTATTGATGTTGGAGGGACCCACCTTGCCTTCGGAGCAAATGCAAAAAATGTACTGGTKAGAGGTATCACTTTCCGGAGAGCTAGTACAAGCAGTTTAACGTTTTACCACGATGGAGCCGAAGCGACATTCGAAGATTGCTCGTGGGTAAATGATAGTGGTATAAGTAACTACTACGGCTCCATTGCAAATGTGAACTCGACAAGTATCGTCAATTTTTATCGATGCGAAATCGGATTGGGGAAAAAACAAATCGCGATGGGGACCACGTCTGCATCAACCAATTCACTTTCAATACGGGTTTGACCGAAACCTGAAGTCGAACATAATATTCTTAATTTCGCTGTGTTCGACCATTTTCTTGGCGCCTGCTTTTCCATAAAATCTCCGTATGTATACTATTATTTTCCTGTCTTGGTCAACTTCGCAGTTTCGATATGAACTAATTTACGATCCAACCAGGACGAGTACTACGTCACTGAAAAGACTCAAGGTGTCAAAATCTGAATAGAAGTTGGTGGAGCAATTTGTACTTGCAACACAAGTACTACTTCTGTTGTTCCTTCTCAGACGATGTGAACTCTGACTTCTGTTTTTCGTTATTTTATCATCAACCAAAGAAAATGCCTGCAAGGTAGCCCACAAATGAGCCAGTTATCCCCAATGGAAAGCGGATTCCAACGTTGCTTTGTTGAGATATATCCGTCGTTCATTCCCCACATCGATTATCTAGTTGTTACTTCCAAGAATCATGATTTCGAAAGAAACCAYGGCCATTCCCATTTGATGTCCAGAGGATCAACCCAAAAGAGAAATATAGTTTTTACTATGACATCCTTTCTTCCYGATGGGAAGGAAACATTTCATCGGTACGCAACAGAACTCTGAGTATCATTTTTTGGAGGGATCAATTCATTTTATTTCACCAATTGTTGATCACGATTTCACCGGGTTGATCTAGTCTCCATCTGTATCTGTATCATTTGAATTAATTTCCTCGGCCTCGCTTATGAGCTCTGCAGAAATCTCCTCAAAGTTTGGTCGTTCACTGATATCCGCGCTCCAGCTGAGGCTTATGATTCTAGATATGCGAGTTGACCAAGTTGAAAATAGTTTTGGTCTGTAGCCTCGACCGCAGACTCGATCAATKATCATCAGCTCAGTGTACAAAGCAAAAGGAGGTTCCAACGCAAGAATATTCCACATTATCATTGCCCAACTGTAAACATCAGTTTTTTGATTGTATGGTTTGCCCTTCACGTTCTCGGGTGACATGTAACGGATGGATCCAGTGCATCCAGTCATATTATAAAGACCATCTTCGTTTCGTTCATCATCTCTCAACTCTTTTGCAAGCCCAAAATCAAAAATTTTCAACACTCCGTCGTAAGTAAATCCAATGTTATCGGGTTTCTAAAATTTACCGTACATTTATCATGAAAATGGAAAGACATGCGAACCAAAGTTGGTTAGTAAAGTATTTCACCAAAACTTCCGGTGTGCCGTAGCCTAAATCACGAATCCTAAGTCTTACCAAATCTCTAAATACTATATTCCTCCGATGCAAATATTTCATCCCTGCTACGAGATTACATGCAGCTGATATTCGTTCTGATTGCAACCTTCTCGCTTTCTTTTTGCTTCCAGTAAAGACACCTGTGATACCCTTGCATTGGCGATCCATGTCCATCCAGCCCTTGACTCTCCGCCCTAATGTTTCGTTGACCTTCTCGAGCATGATAAAGTAACCATCCGAAAATGCATCGTTCGAGGATATTCCTTTCAAACAGATAATATTTTCATGGTCAAGTGAAGCTAAGAATCTTGTTTCCATCGCTAGATCAACAGTTCCTTTCAAGAAATTGATCTTATCTGCTCGTTTTAAATCAGGGGAAAGTTGCTTYAMAACATATCCATATCGAGCACGGTTACCGGTGCCATTCAGTTGCCTAGTTGGGCGACATTTACCGTCTTGGTTACTTCTATCAGTAGATGATGAATAACTACCAGATGTTGATCTAGATCCATTGCAACTGCCATTCATTCTCTTCCGTCTCCCCAAGATTTTTCGACCAAAATATCCYAAACGAATGCCGACCTTCTCGGTAGATTTCTTGTTTCCTTCGGGCAGGGAAGTAGAATACGAACATTCCTGGACAACGCAAAACGCTCCTCTCCCTACAACCCGGCCTACAACAACGTCTCGCTCGTTGATTATCAATAAGCCCATGCCACAGCCATCGCCACCATCACTGTTGTCCTGGTGATTTCCATTCAAATTTCCAGCCTCGTGRATTTCATTAGTGGCCGCCTCGCTATTCCCATTTTGGRGCACATTCCGTGTTAAATTGGAACCAAGAATCTTCTCTCCAAAAACGTCGCGGGCTGTCTTCCGCAAAACATCCACTGATGCGAGCTGCATATCCTTTACAATGGCCTTTTTATAGGAAGTCGTCATTGTCTTACTACGACAAATATGTGAGTGGGTTTGCAGCCAGTGAATGTTCAATATTCGTGKGATGCTCAGGGCCATCAGACATCAATTGAGCGAGAAGCATGGTTGCGTGTAAGATCCAAGTTGCAACACTAAAACACCGAGAAGTCGGAACCCGTGCCTCGAAAGATCAAAATTCTGGGTATCGCTTGTCGCGAACCACCAAACTGACGAAGAAGTTGTACGTTGCCGTACTCGTACTTTTATTACTATGAGAAGTCTTTTATTTTTTCGATAGTAGAAGTAATACTGTAATGCATTGCAGAAATCCTGTAGTACGGTACAATAGAATAAAAGAGGCATTAATCCGGGAAAAACTTATAATTGAATTTATTTTCAGATTGCGATACGGCTTACCAAACCATATRAAAGTCTGTTGGGTTGATAACAAAGAAATATGGCTACCTCTCCTTTTTCAGAGCCAATTCTAACCCCAGAGTGTTAAATAAATTCGAAAACTCGAGAAACAGATGCAATTGCAAAAAGCTGGTTCGGCCAGCAATCGTATGTACGGCCGAGCCGTACAACGGTACAAAATCCGTAGCTCGGATTTTTACAGTAACTTACCTTGTGATGTACCGTACGGTATGGTAGACCACTACCGCACCGTACCTCCTAAATTGTATGAATGTTACGTACCGGTACTAGCAGTACGGTACAGTACGAGTTTTTGGGTGCGAAATAAGACTATCGATTCCTAACAGGTTATGAGTACATAAAACGCGCCAGTTTTTTGCCAACATTGCTTGCTTGATAACTSAAGCAAAAGCACCAATCAGAATTAGAGAACCCATCAGTCGGAAAGGGTTTTCCCTCCTCTTTTGATACATGTCCATATTGTATATGTTTCCGGTCAGAGAACTTTTTTGGGCTTGTTGATTTCTGAGCACACGAAAAATACAAAATATTCTCATTTAATCAACCTCAACAAAGCAAGCTGTCACTCCTCCAGATCTTTATCAATACCCAACCAATTGTGCTCACAAGACAAGTGTTACAATCCTTACAATAAGGGGGAGAGGATTTAGAAGTAGCAGATCGATCGACCAAGTGGTTTACAAGAAACAGGAGACCTGAGCTACAGTGGAAATATGGACAAAAAACAGCAATGACGAACTCCATAGTGAAACAAAAAAGAAACCATCTTCCCCTCAATAACACCAACAACCAGTGTCTGAAACCTCCTTAATACATCAAAGTAGACTTGATCCGGAAGTATCATCACGATCGACCAAGTATTTTGAAAGAAAAAAGCAGTTTTTGCTGTATTTTTGCTGTATTTTGGCTTCGAAATGAGCATTAACAACAACAACTGAAGAAAACAAGCAAGCCAGCGCCCCCCAGAACACYAGCTGTACTCCCATCACCAGCTGCACTATCGATTCGGACRATTACTGATGAGTCTTTGCTAAAGAAACTGAAAGAGGATGAGATAACTATCAGAGAGACTGCATATGGAAGGGAGAGAGAGAGATTGAAGAATCAACAAGCACTGAATTTCATTGCAAGCTTGACTGAAGAAGAGAGAGTTGCCTCTAATATGCCAGTTGAGGTACTAGAGGGAGTGAAAGGCTTAGTTGATGCTGATCCTGTAGTTGGTGAAGTTGCTGAAGTGTAATAGGAGCTTCCAGTAGTAAGTGATTTATGTTAAGAGAAATCCATTCTTGGAATCGATTTTGATTTTGATTTTATTCCATGATAAATACCAGTGTCCAGATCTCGATTTTGTGTCGCCGACCTGAATTCTGAGAAGAAAAAAAAGCTCGGAAAGTTCCAAGCTTGGAAAGAGTGAAGCCCAGTAGTTAGCGCCTTAAAGAGCGCTCCAGTAGTAAGCAATTTAGTAGTAATTTTATGTGAAGAGAAATCTGTTCTTGGAATCGATTTTGATTTTGATTCTATTCCATGGTAATAACTAGTCTCCGGAAATCAATTTCGTTTTGCTGATTCGAATTCTCAAAAAGTGAGCTCGGAAACTAGCTTGGAAAGCTCTGAAAATAGGAAATAATTTGATATAAAATAGTTTYTTTTTGGTTCCAGGTGGAACTAAGTGACAGCTTTATGTTCCGGGTGTAAAATAAGACTATTGTTCCACACATAGAGTCCTGTAGAATCCCTACCGTTAAAAAGCTGTCACGTCTTATTTCCAACCCAAACTCGTACTGTATTACCGATACAAACGCAAGCGAATAAAACAACATCCAAACCTGTCCATCGTACGGTACTTGTACGGTATCCTCTGCAAAATGATATATGTATTTTTTACCGTTGTTTTACTGTATTTTTGATCGCACATATTTTTGTACCCCTCATATTTAGTAGTATCAAAAAAAAATTGTGTACATTTCTACATTGGTGATGTGTGTGCTTGTATTATTTAATTAACTACCGGAGTCGCCCAATAAGTATAATAACCCACCGCATAACTGCTAACTGAAAGATACAAATAATGGTGATACACAGTCCCACATACAAACAAATCRTTGGAGTCGTTGGCGATGATTATTTTCTAGTACTAAATTTGTGTAGGAATTTGTATAGTTCCCCCCCCCCCCCTCAAGCTTGATAACTGTGTTCATTCTAATCAAAAAACTCAGTTTTGCAAGCCACTTGCCCATGATGTTCCCTCCATTTGAAGCACTTATACTCAACCTTAGACAACAAGACTACCACCATTGCATCCACCATCTCCACTGTCAATTTAACAAGCCCTTAAGTGTTTGAAAGGACTAAATTTTGTCCAGTTTAGTGGTCATTGATACAATACGATGCCTCGCAAAAGAACAAGCAAGAACGCGGCAAGCGCAAGCAGCAGCAACGAGGAGGAGGAGTCAAGGAGCAACGCTGAGACGAGCAACGCGGCAAGCGCTGAGACAAGCAATGCGGCAAGTAGCAGCACCAGCAACGCTGAGAGCAACGCCACCAGCAACGCTGAGATGAGCAATGCAACAAGCAGCACTGATGATGGAGGAGAATGATCCAGACTTATACATGCTGTCAGATGATTCCAGCAGCAACAATGCCAGCAGCAACAACGCTAGTAACGCCACCAGCAACAGCAACAACAACAGCAAAGCCACTAGCAACAACGCCAGCAATGCCCCCATCAGCAACGCCAGCAGGAGCAGGAAGAGAAAGAGGACAAACAAAAAGAAAAAGAAATCAACAGCAGGGAGGAAGAAGAAGAGGATCATTCCAGAGTCAGAGTTAGGTGYCAATGCCCCCAAGGCAATTGGCACCTACTACAATTACTTTTGCAAGTTCATGGAATTCAAGGATGATTGTGTTTATGATTTTGATCATGTATTCACTGATGAACAGAAGGCCTCAATTAGGCCAAAGGATATCTACAGTTKGTTCTGTGTGAGAGCCTATGGAAAAGCTGAGCCTGGTAGTGCAGACTGTCCTAAAGAAGCTAGGTCTACATCAATGTCCTATTGAAAGAAGGCYCTGTCTCATTTTATGGTGACTCAGTCTGCTTGGGATGAAGTTAATGAAGTGGGGAATCCTACTAAATCTCGTCTAGTCAATAAGCTGATGATTGCTGCAGCAAAGAAGGCTGAGACGAGAGGCACTGGTAGAACAAGTGTAGCTGATAGGGAGTTGACCCACACAGAGGAGTTTGTTCAGGTAGTGCAAATGGTATCTAATCAGGGTCAGCTGATTGATAATCTGAGACATCAAGCAATGCTGAAGTTTCAGCTGCATTTGATGAGTAGGATGGATGATGATGCTCATGTAACAAAGGGAAATCTTCATGAGAGCTTGAAATATCCTAATTATCTGTGTGTGAAGTTGAAATGGTTTAAGAATGTTAGTGAGGAGCAGGATTGCCCTCAACAGCTGATGCTAGGGGCAATGGATACAAATTACTGTGTTCTGGTTGGGCTTGCGGTTTTTCTAGAGAAGTGGCTTTCCTCTGGTGAAGGAAGGACCAGCCAGTGGTTATTTGGTGAGGGAGACACTGATTGTCACGATCCAATTGAAGAGCAAGATGCTGAAGCTGAAAGGACAAAGGCCAATTATGCTAGGGCAGTGAAGGCAGCAGTAACAAGTGAAGCGTTTGTCCCAGCAACCACTGCAGAAGCAGTGGGGAACATTGGTACTCACTMTGTTTGGAATTGGGCATGTTCTAAGGCTAGGTTGAGTGGTGGAACCTATGAGGAGTGTGATTATAGGGCCCGCTGGGTAGGGACATTCTGAAACGACTCATAACCAGATACTTCAAGCTACTGGACCTACGGCGCAGTTACTGAGACATGTGCCTCCTCATAACCGTGTACTTTAAGGTACTGGACCTACGTCTCAGCTACTGAGTCACGTGCCTACTAATATATGAGCCACCCTGAGCATAGTGAGCGCCGATTAATAGAGTAGCGTTAAGTAGCTAAAAATTGACTTAAAAGCTACTTTTTTAAGCTGCTTGAAAGTAGCTTGAAAGTAGCTTGAAAGTAGCTTAAAAGCTACTTTTAAGCTACTTAAAAGTAGCTTTTCCGTAGCCGTTAGATTGCAAATTATAATATATATATAAACATTAATTAATAACAATAATTGAATATTGAAAATAAACAGATCTTCATATATAATAATCAAAGGTAGTCCCACGATTGAAAATAATTAACGGAAAGACAATCGACACTCTAAATTATAAGATCTATGCCCTTAAGTATCTTTATTCATCAATGTATATATATTGGGAATCCAATGGCTACTGAAAAGCTACTTTAAAGCAACTTTTAAGTAGCTTT